CTTTGAGTGATTGCCTGATTGTGTCGTCAAACCAATTATTATCACCAAAATTACTGTTTAACCACATCTTTGTGTTGTCTTTAGGGACAGGCATTTCCGTTGTGTGCAATCGCGCCAACCGTTGCGCTAATAGTGCCAATGCTCTCGGGTTGTGATCATCACTACCGGTAAAATACCGGCACTAATCGTATTAATAAATAGTTATATATTTTATATTTATAAATTATTAATAATTACATCAATGAATTCACTAATGATCCCGTTGTCAAATACCCCGAGTATTTTGGGCGCTAAACCTAACTGTGATGTTATGAGTTGAATAGCGAGCACTTGATTGGCATCAAAATAGTCGAACCAATCATTTTGCTCTTGACGTCTGACCACAACTTTATTATATTTCGTTTTATTATTATTTTCAGGAAGAAAACAATAAAACAATTCATTAGAAAAGCCATCCCTTAAATGAATATAAAATTAAATATTTTAATTAATAAAAATAGTTATTTAACAACTAATTTATTGTATGGAAACCTGTTTTGTGTAATAATTAGCTCGTCTTCATTAATATTAGCCCATTTGCCACTCAATAGTGTTTTGCATAAATCATACAATTTTGTCCGATTAGCGTCAGAAATGTTTTCATTCATTATTAAAATATATAATTAAATTTTATGAATAACAAATATAAATGTTTACATTGATATCAATCCATTGCACATGTTGAGCATGCGTTTATGTTGAACTTTAAATGTGATTAAAGTAAGATATTAATAACATACATTGATTATGTAATTTTAAATGAATGTAATTACGCGCTGTTGGCATTCAATGGTAAAGAAAATATTTTGTAAACTTGTAATTCATCATAATAATATTTTTATAAATTTTCAGATTATTTAATAATAATAATTAGATTTATTTAAATTCAATTAAAATATTTTTCTTCAGTTTTTGGTAGCATTTGAGTCGATTCTCTGCGTTTCTCTGCAAAAATTATCATCAATATTTAAATATTTGGTAATTAATAATTATTTAAAATACCAAGCGTTTAGTCATGCCATGATTGACAGCATTATGAATACAGAATATTGCGTTAATTAAAAATGTTAATAAAGCAAATATTTTGGACTCCTTTATAAGCCTATATCGTAAATCCATTTTCAATTGTGTAGAATAGTTGCCATTAATTGCTGTCAATCCCTCGATATAGGCGTTGATGAAGACCAGCAGTTGGCCATCAGTCGGAAAGTCTCCGCAACCAAAGGGTATTTCCTGTTGACACCAACTGCTGAAATATGTGCCAAAATCAACGCCCCTATAGTTATACGACGAGAAATCAAAATCAATTAAATAAATGTCCATTTGTTGTGAATTTCCGTCATTTGTTTCGTGGATTAAAATGTTTTTCCGATTGAAGTCATTGTGAGAGAAGACAATCGGACTCTTGAGGTCGACAATAATTTTCTTAAGCCATGACATCTCCGCCAACAGATCCAGTGTTTGCAGTGCTTTGTAGTGATGTTTATGTATCTCTTTATACACCAAACCATCGATGAATGATTGCCTGAGTTTGTGATCAAAGTAATTGTCTCCGAGAATACCGTTTAACCGATTTTGTGAGTTATCTTTAATGACCGGCATTTCCATTGAGTGAAGTGTTGCCAACTTTTTGCCCAACAGTAATACTGCTCTCGGATTTATATCATCACTGGCACCAAAATAGCGACCCTATTGTGTTATCACGAATAACTAGTTAATAAAATTTACAGTCAAGAATGTGTGGAAAATAATACATCAATAAATTCCAGAATAATTCCCGTATCGAAAACACCCAACACTTTGGGCGCTAACCCTTTGGCAGATAATAGAAGACTAATTGTCAACACATTCTTCTCACTGATAAACGCTTGCCATTCGTTGTGGTCATGACATCTCAACACTACTTTATTATCATTACTTTTAGCATAATTGCTGTCTTCGGGTAGAAAACAATAGTATATTTTGTTGATAAAGCCATCGCTGCAACAGAAACCACATATTTATAATGATTGTATTTTTATTTTATTTATATTTAACAAGTTAAAAATTCCACTTTAATTCATACCTATTATGTCTTATAATGAGGTCCTCTTCACCGACATTAGCCCATTTACCACTTAATATTGTTTTGCATAATTCATGTAATTTCGTCCGCAAATTACTGGTTATACTCTCAGCCATTGTATAATATACTGAATGTCAAATACACTGTTGAATAGACTTATATAATGTCGGATCAATTGACAACAATTTGTATGAATAATAATAATAATAAACATAAACTAACTTTGTTTTGGATAAAACGGAGGGATAGATAGTATCGGGTCTCTACCAGACTTCCCATATTGTGTAATACAATCTCGTTATCCATATTGAGTCACTGTGTTTATTAATTACCATAATGTTTTACACATTAATTGTGAAATATACAATATGTATGTGTTAAATAACTAATGTAAATAATTGACATGTGAAAAATAGAATTGTACACATCTATAAAGAAGCTATTACAAAATTACATGCAATATGTTAAATGATCCAAAGAATATTTTAATATTACATAACCGTTATGCAATACCATATGACACACCTTTGTAATACCAATGTTTATTTATGTGTATTTTAATGATAATGGTAATTTTTGTTAAAATCATTTGTAGTTCTTTTATTTTCTATAAAATTAATTTAGCTAAAAAAATTTGCTTTGATAATAATGAACAAGAAGAATTTTTTAATGAAATGTTTCTTTTTAAAAATATTTATAATTATTGATAAAATTATTATTAATAAGAAATTGCTACAAAAATTAATCAAGTAAAAATATTTATAATATGGTCATTCTTGCAAATTAACAAGTACAAATTAACATTGGATATTGAAATTATATTACAATTTATACTCCAATTGCATGCGAGTCTTCAGATTGTGATAGCATTTAAACATATTATCCGCGCTTTTCTATAAAATAGAACATTTAATTTATGATTATTTAAAAAAATTAAAATTACTATTAAATAAAAATGTTTATAAATTAAATTACCATTGCATCAGTCGTGCCATGATTGACAAAATTATAAATACAAAATATTGAGTTAATCAAGAATGTCATTAAAGAGAACACTTTCGCCTCCTTTATAAGCCTTTGTCGTGAATTGATCTCCAATTGTGTAAAAGAGTTGCCATTAATTGCTGTCATTTCCCGGATATAGGCGTCGATGAAGACCAGCATCTGGTCATCCGTCGGGTATTCTCCAAAACCATAGGGTATTTCCCGGTGACACCAACTGCTGAAATATGTGCCAAAATCAATGCCCCTATAGTTATACGACGAGAAATCAAAATCAATTAAATAGATATCCATTTGTTGCAAGTTTTCATTATTTGTTTCGCGGATTAAAATGTTTTTCCGATTGAAATCGTTGTGAATGAAGACAATAGGACTCTTGAGGTCGAGGATAATCGGCTTAAGCCATGACATCTCAGCCGACAGATCCAGTGTATGGAAAGTTTGGTAATTATTTCTCATTATCTCTTCATAAACGGCCCCCTCTTTGAGTGATTGTCTCATTTTGGGACTAAAATAATTGTCGCTAAACATTGAATTCATCCGATTCTGTGAATTATCTTTAATGACAGGCATTTCCATTGAGTGAAGTTTTGCCAACTTTTGGCCCAACAATGACACTGCTATCGGGTTTTGATCATCACTGGCACTGAAATAGCGACCCTATTGTATTATTACAAATAACTAGTTAATAAAATTTACAATCAATCATATGTGTGCAAAATAATACATCAATAAATTCCAGAATAATTCCCGTATCGAAAACACCCAACACTTTGGGCGCTAACCCTTTGGCAGACAATAGGAGACTAATTGTCAACACATTCTTCTCATTGATAAACGCTTGCCATTCGTTGTGGTCATGACATCTCAACACTACTTTATTATCATTGATATTATCGCTGTCTTCGGGTAGAAAACAATAATATATTTTGTTAATTAAACCATCGCTAAAAATAAAATCACATGTTTAACACAATCATTAAATGTTCCAATATGAATGATAAAATAATTATACCTATTATGCTTTATAATAAGATCCTCTTCACCAACTTTAGCCCATTTGCCACTCAATAATGTTTTACACAATTCATACAGTTTTAACCGTAAAGTGTTTGTAATTATTTCATTCATTTCTGGTAACATTACAAAGCATTTACAATCATTCGTACACACCGTCCAATCAATTGATAATAATTGCATATAAATGTAATCAATTGCAGCAAACTTTTAGTGTAGGTGTCTATGATATCAAATCTTAACCATATTTCCCACATTCTGTTATACAATCTTTTCAACGATAGTTAAAATACATATTTTATGACTCATAAGTTGTTACATTATAATTATGTAATAGATGAGTTAAATTAAATACTCGTGTGATTCATTTGTTATAATTAAATACATCCATTAATATACTGTATTTTGCAGCTGAATAAAAACATTTATAAATTACATATTTTAATTACACAATATGGACATTTAATTTAGTTACAAAAACTATCACTACATTTATTGCTTATACTGTACATAAAATTAAATAATATTATTGGACATTTGCATAAAATAATTTAATACACATTATCTCAAAATTTTATTTTAATTAAAAATTTGCGATAAATAATACATCAATCATCGAGATAATTTTAGAAACATATAACGTTAATAATATGTGCATTTTAATACTTTAGAATTATAGGCTCAGCCGTACCTAACTTTAAACATTAACGCCAAAAGACCGAGTAATCGAAGTACGACTAAATGTCCTAGATGTTAAAATTAATAAATAGATTTATCGATATAATATTAACATCATATAAAATGTTTGCGCACTAACCTATCAACCAATTAACATTTTCCCACATATCATCATCATCTAAATGATATTTATTAAGCACCAAGTTCATTTGGCCGCTTTCGCACCGGTCGTAGCCATAGATGGAAATAATTGAAGCATAAAATGTGAATCTAAGGTAAGAAATGTGAGTCACTTTACGTATAAACCACTCGGCGTTCGGGAGTCGGACAGCGAAGCCATTAAACAAAAATATCAATATATAAAATCCAACGCCGAGTGTTGTCGACAGAGTATCGTTGGGGCAAAAGATTATGCCAATTAAATTCGCAATACTCGCGGCCGTACAAACGCCACCCGTCTATCAATCAAGTAGAATAATTTTTGATGTACAATAACAACAAAAAACACAGTAAATTAGCAAAACGCAATACAATATACAATGTATATATATATATTATACATGCACATAAACTCGTAAACATAATTTATACACATATAAACTGAATTACAATTACAAATATATAATTTATGTATGTAATGAATTTACCACAATCATCGTAAAGTACGCCCACCGGAATGCGTCCGACTCCTGATCGCTGATGAAGTACACCATTGATGAATAGATAAGCCCAATGGCCACTAATACGGGTAACTCGACGAGACATTTGCTCCAATAGTAGGCGCCGGTTGAGTACCACCGGTTCCGGTGCTCATTCATAAATACCCGAATCTCGATGGGAATCGTGAGTATAGTCGCGGCCAATGTTAAGAAGCCCGGCATTGTGTTGACAAAGAATAAGAGCTTTACGTTTTCGCTGACCGCTAGATCTTTGGCCGCCAAACGTAGGGCGAGTCGGGCGGACGCCGTGCGCGCCGTTTGGGTGCCGTTTAACCGGTCGATACAAGCCGTGCGCTGACCGATATCAAAGTCGTATAGATAACTCATTACCACCGACATTGACATTGCAAATACGCCCAGTGCTACGCTTACCATCCAATCGTGTTTGACCTTGAAAATGGTTTTTTTTTTAAAAATTACATAATTACAATTTTAAAATAATTTTAAATGCATTTAAATTATTATGATAAATCATTAATTTAATATTATATTAGTATAATAAAGGGGTTGTAAAATACTCGACAAATAAATTATAGTATGTAGTAACAACAGAGTTGTAAATTTTTATCCCAAATTCAATAATGCCTCAAAAAAACAAATTTACACATAAATAGTATAAAAATTGCAATACATTGTGTTGTGCTAGGTGAGATTGGGTGAGACATGCATTACTGATTAAAATCAAAAGTACATTTTATATTAAAAATATAATAATAGTCTTACTTACAAAGCGTACAAAACCTCTTAATGTCAGGTAATATAAGTGATAGAAATTGAAATGTAATTTATTTCCAGGGATTGACTTTGAAATCAATTGTCCGTCTCGTCGACACTCGTCTCGTAACTCATTTGTCGAGCGCTTAGTTTTCAAAATTAATCTATCGATTGAATCGCCCGTCCCTTCAATCCCTTCGCCGCACTAATTGTTAGATATAATTAAATGTTTATAAAATATATTTAATGTGTGTTAAGGCGTAACTAAATAAATAAAAGTATAAATAAAAAGCTAACCTGTAATCTCTCAATAAATACGTTAATTTAATTAAATATAATAATTAGACAATTAGTATATTAGAGACGAGTTTATACATGTAATTTGACATAATTTATCAAAAGGCTATTTTATAGTATTAATATATTTTAAAAACCTTATGTAAACATAGCTGCTAATAATATTCAATTAAAATTTGTCATAAGGCATGTGGTCAGTCTAACACTG